AAACAGGAAGTAAAAGTCGCTAACTCGCAGKGTCCATACATCTCAGGACAATGGAGAGAAGTTATCAGGAACGTGTTGCTACTATCAGGAAAGTTATAACTATTCTGTTATCAACTACTTCTGGCAATGTTACATGCTGTCTGGAGAYGTAGAAAAAGAAATTCAGTTWTCTTCAYATTACGGAATAACTGAGAATACACCGACAGCAGGAGGAGGGTCCTGCTGCCAGTCGCGACTACAGTCGCTCTGGTACTGGGACCAGCGGGAATAGCGGACCAACCATGTGAGGTAAATGTTCGCTACGTCAGACTTTATTCAGCAAATGTGTCCCCATCTCTCCTTTTGCGCCTTAACTCTGTTTTGAAAAACCCAAAAACCACCTCAAGCGAGCGTATCAACTTTTATGCGAATTAGAGGAAGTTTTTTTTTTCGAATTATGCTCTTTCCATTCACCTTTTCTTTGAAAGGTAAAAATGATTTAACTTTAGATAAAAGTCTCAGTTTAAACAGACCTAAATAGACTCAGTGCGGCTGTGGCAGAGTGGTTAGGGGAGTCGTCTTGGTCCAATCCCCCGCCCAGCTGTCTCAGTTGTGTCCTTGGGCAAGACACTTCACCCCTAATGCCTCTGATGTGTGTATGAATGTGATTGGCACTGATTGGTCTCCATAGATGACTGTATATGTTAGCTTTGTAGAGACCTAATAAAGTGCTGTGTGAATGGGTAAATGGGGACACAGATTGTRGTGTGAWGAGATTTGAGTATCCTGGATGGATAGAAAGGCGCTATATAAGTACAGTCCATTTATAATTTAAAAAAAGAACTCTTTCCCACTGAACTTATCTGTTTCTCAAAGGCAAAATTTGAATCGAAGATCACCCCCAAATTTCTGACAAAAAAATTTAACAAATGGCTCTATGGTCCCACGATCTATGGGAGAAGAACTGTGATTAATGATGGGTCCAAAAATAACTTCAGTTTTATTGTGGTTGAAATTTAAAAAGTTAGAAGCCATCCAAGACTTTACCTCAGATGCAAACAGTGGTTTTAATGAAGAAAAATTACTGTGCTGTAATTGAAAATATTCAACATGTTGGATCATCTTAGCCCAGTATCCCAGTRTATTTGGTGTTCTGAGGACAAACRAGCTTGCAGCCTGTTGAAATGTGTAGCCAATCAGAAATTGAGGTTAYGGAAACACAGAGGGGAATCCAAAATGCTGAAGACAAAACCAACTGCCATGGTGCACCAGAGGGCCCAATGGACRTCTGAGACCTTTTTAAAGTCTTTTTCTAAGTTAAAAATAGTCCACAAACGATCGCCACTGGTTTTTCCTCACCTGCCATGTTTATAAACTCTGAACTCAGGTTTGATCTCGAGAGGTCTCCTGTATGGTTCCTGTATGATGTTCAACCATTCGTGAGTGAAATCTGTTTGTGTGTTGTCTTTTGTCRTGTGGCTGTACACCACACTCTGTAGGACCAAACCTGTTACATCTAYGAGTTTTTAATCACCGTGTGTGTTCCCTCAGTCTTTGAAAATCAGCTGACAATTTTAAAATCTTGCCGCGTGAACCRGGCCTTAYAACGTGCTCTCTTGATTTCCTTTCCCCTCCATGACGGACTATCCTTCACAATTTAAAGCATCTTAAAAATACCTGCGTCCCCATAGTTACGCTCACATACACGGTCCTTTCTTCTTRCTTTACACAGCAGTGAAACAGTTTTAACGCGAGCGTCTGGTTTTCTGCAGCCTGACAACAGGAAAATATAGCTCACGGACCGACACTCCTCCAGCAGGGACTGAAACTTCCCRCTCAGAGCTGCACGACCTCTGCTAGGACTGAAAAAGACAATCTGAAGGTCAAATTCAAAAGGAAGTCACTTCATACAGTCTGTTCTTTCAGCAGTTACTCCCAACGCAACTGAGAATACGCTGGGCACATTCCAAACATTGTGACGGGTTCGATTTTATTTGGAACTTTCTCATGCACAGCAGCCCTGTCATTCTCCGCTTTTATTCATCCACATAAAATCAGTTAATAAAGCTTGGATTTATTTGTCTTGTTGGGTGGTACAGAAGTGTTTAGAAACAACAGAAACCCTGAGACAACTGGGTGGTAAAACCAGCTTTGACTTTGCTGACCTTTGGGAACTTTTTCCCAACGTGCAAACTATTCTTGTTGTAATAGGCATCAACCCACGAAAAGTAAATGGCATTATGTTTTACACTCAAGTGAAGTACGAAAGATCATCTTCTCGCTCAAGGCAACACAAAGTTTTTACATCCTAACAACTAGAAGCACTCGGAGAGTTCAAACCTCSGCCAAGACCAATTTCCCCCATCCTGTAATAGAGTTAATGCGCAAAAGCAGAGATGGAAACACATTTGCCGAATAAGTTCTGACGTAGCAAACATTTAAGCAGGCAGTATGCACGGGATTTCTTCTCGGTGGAGTCCAATGTGAAAAAAAAGTCAGACTCGTCACCCGACATTATTCATCGTCAAACTGGTGTCGGATTAAGCTGCTAAGTTTTCATCAGTCACATTTCACCATGTAAAACGTCTGTTTTATCCCCTTGTATGAGTTTGTAATGGTTTGACTCTCTTTATAAAGTGCTTCTTGGCTCCTCCCGTCTCCAAACTTTGAGGCCCGGCAGCTCACTGTTTACAAGCCTAGTAGCGAGAAACTGTTTTGATTGGTAGTTTCGGAAATGTGGTGTGTTTGAGGAAATGGGAAAAATAGGATTCATGGTGTAGTCACGCACTTCCTGGTCACAAAACGTTATGTAAATGCACATATTATGGCAAAAAATAGTCATCATTAAATGTGGTTTTAACATTACTTTTATAAAGTTTGAAGTCCGTGCTGTCCAATCCAGCTCAGTGTTTTTTTTACAGGAGCCCTGTGAAAGCATCACAGCTTTGCCGATCTCAGAGTGTTAAAAGAAAAAAATTCCTGTATCTGCATCGTGATCCGGAACATCACTAAAATTTAATGGTGTGTTCCTTGGCCCAGTACCCACATATGGTAAACATGTCATGACAATCTGTCCACAAGTTTTTGAGTAATGTTGTCCACAGACAGACCAACAGACAGACATATGCGACTGAAAACATTACCTCGCCCTCGGGGGCGATAGTAGCACTCAYGATTTGCCATTCTGCGTTATTCCCATGAATTCAAAGATCATAATCCACAAAGAGCTGTTTGTTTTTGCATTTTTCTGTCAAAGAAATGCAAGAAAATGTTAAACAAAAAAAAAAAAGTAAAAAAAGCTTATATGTTTGTTACAGTAGGATTTAAAAGAGAAGTCATCCCTTTTCGAAGATACAATTTAGGTTTCTCAAAAGCAGCCAAAATATGAAAAAGTTGGGCATCAAAAACACAAAATTTTTGCTGACAAAAACGTGATGCATATTTTGGCAGCGCGTGACAGCCCTTTATGTTTTGGATGGAGAGTTTGGCCATAATGTGCCCCTGCTCTTTAACTCAGATGCCTCAGCGAATCCCGGCACGATGTTGCTGATGGCAGACTGGGCCAAGGGAGAGAGGGAGGGAGGGAGAAAGACAGGAATGCTTTGATGGAGAGCTTCTAACAGCAGGACATAGCATAGATGTATGGTACTGTAGGTGTGTGTGTGTGTGTATGTTGTGACACAAATGTGTTTTTCAGCTTAATRTTAAATTATATACAAATAAGTTGCATCGTTATTTATATTACATACTTTTAACAGAGTTTGTGACTAAAAAACTAAATATGTAACTCTGCATTACATTTGCATGAAAATAACCACTACACAACCTAACTGCTTCATGCTGAACTCTAATAAAAGGAGACATTTCCTGCTTTATAATCCTTCTTTTTCCACATTTAAATCCTTCAGCTGGGGTCTATATAAAGTGAAACTGCAAGATTTTGGTCTGAATTCTTCCTTATTGCAACTCTAYAAGCCCCTCATTCACCCCTTTTCTGGAGGTGTGTCTCAGATCTACTTGTTTTGACGMTGTCTCTTTAAATCCACGTCCAGCTTCCAGAGCAGATTACTGTAGTTTGATAGAGGGGTTTACGACTATATAGCGGCGCAGAAACCTTTTTATTTATAAATGAATTAAAAAGATGTCAACAACAGAAGACTTGTCCATCCAGCCTTACATGTTGGAGCCAGAGTCTGACCCAGAGCCAGAGGTGAATGAAGAAATTGTATTTGTCCAGACCTCATTTAGAAGTTCTGTGACGCAGTAGTTCAGAAAGCATCATGGAAAATAGAGAAAACTGAACAAGKTGAAAAATATGATCCAATAAGATAATAAAGATATCTAYGCARCACCGGGAGAGACACTCTTRGAGACTTCAAGTACACAASAAAATGCATTTAACGGGTAAAAAAGTGGATTTTGCCTGATRTGTCCCCTTTAAGAACGGCAGCACACCTTTGCCTAAAAGCTCACCAGCAGAACCGAACCTAGCTCTTAACACTCTTGTATTTTGTTTCCTTTTGATTCACTGACACAAACACTCGTAAACACAGACCTGGCTGCCTTTCTTTTACCTGAGGCGACAGATGCTGAGTGATAGATGCACATTAGGCTGTCTTCCTTAGGTGCNACACACACACACACACACACACACACACACACACACACACACACACACACACGCAGACTGATACACAAGCACTTTCTTCTTCTGACCCCCTGCTTCCACCCCATCAATAGGTCAACTGCCGCTTGTTACTCCAACCTGACAGTTTACATTGGGCCTGAGGCTGATTCAACACTGAAGGGCTGTGTGATATACACACACACGCACACTCGCACACTAAGAATACACGCTTGTCTGTCTCTCTGTGTATACCTCAAACACACACTCATGAAAGAAAAATACACAGTGGCTAGAAAACTTTGAGGAATCTGCTGAGTGGTTGGTTCAGGAACCTGATTCCCTCCAGCGATTCATACCATTGGTTTCTGAGAACACACATACACACACGCACATGTAAACTGTGTAAACCCTTTGTAATCTACTTTAGGTTTTCTTTGAATAAAGACATTTGTTGAAATACACGTTTTTTTGTTCCTATTCTTTCCATTCTCTCCTCCACATCCGTTTCTCTCCATTCAGTACGGCATCTCTAATAGCTGGTTATATTGTTTCAGTTTTCTTTAGTTTCTGCTGCACCTGTCTGTTTTACCCGAAAGGAAATTCCCTTTATAAATGAGATTAGGATTAAACAATAAAGCCTGCTTTTTGTAGAACCAACCTCTCTAACCAGTTGGTCTGTTGCAAAATATAAAACTCAAAGAAAACTGTACTTTTCCTCACTTTTCTAAAAAAAACTTACAACACAGTCACGCTGCTTCTTCTCAAATGCATATTTCAGGCTTGAAATCTTCTGCGACTGCTTTGAAACGAAAGGAAACACTTTCATTTTAACCACAAGTAATTTTCTGTTGGGTTAACAGGAGGTAATTGCAATAAATTCATCCCAATTATAGCATGAGGAAGATCAGAATTATGTTACCTGTTTGCTCCAACAGAAAACAGGAGGGATTTATAAACATGATTAGTTTACTTAACGGTGAATGAAGATGGTTAATAGGAAACCTTGACAACGTGCTTTATTGTTAAGCAGCTGTGGGTAATATGAGAACACTGCCTTTGCGCTCCAGAACTAGCTGGGTGAAAACCTGTCATGTAGTGTGCAACTACTAAATCAATATATAAGGAACCACATAAAATTATTCTGTTTCATGACAAATTTCTTGAGCGGTAAATAATTTCGAATAATAAAATTGTGCACAATACGCACTTTATGTACCTTTAGCAACTATACAAATTCATTAAATACACAGAGGAAGTGAAATAAGGTAAGTGAGAGAGAAAGAAAAAAAACACACAATAGAAACAAGGTAATCCATAACAAACTACATCATGTGCAGATTTACAGCTAAACTAGCGACCGGACGTGGAACTGACACCTTAATGACTACTTCTCGACTTCCACRACAGAATTCACTTTGCCTTGTTTAACTTTGTACATCACGTCTGGCGAGGCAAAAAAAAAAATTCAAAAGAAAGGGTTGAGTGACAGAGCTGGAGACACTAAGCGGTCCATTAATGAGCTGCAGTCAGGACTTGTTGAAAACTGATGGGTTAGTTGCTCAGAAACAAAGACAAGTCTTTTCTGTCTTGTTTTGGCTTACCTGAAAGSGGGGAAAGGGATAAGTAGATTCAACATTTTTAACTTGAGCTTACTGAAAGGAAAAAAAAAATTCTCCCCTTGTGTAAATGCATCTCCAAAACACTCGCCAACATGATTGGCGAGTGGCGAGGTTTGTTATTCCTACTTTTGTATCAAACAGATTATGATTACTTGCACAGAAACATAAAAATGTCAGCCTCATCGAGTCAAGACTCATATTCCGCGAGGTTTATCATGGTTTGGTCAACGATGATAAACATCAGTTTGATTCTCATTAAGAAAAAACAAACTAACGTGAAAGCAGGAGGAAGAGGTGAGCGCGAAATAGAAGGCTGAGTTAACAGGATAAGGCGAGCTTGGACTAAAACTGTGTCGAAGGCCACAAGTACCATTCCACTTCTGTGTGTGTTTGTGTGCGTGCATCACAGTATGGAGGCTGTGGACCAGGTTACGTTTTAGTGT